CTCTGCAGAAAACACTACATCTTGCGTAATTATTCTGCAAAAACCATTGATCGGCGGATTTCGCTCGGTTAAGTGCGTTTATGACAGATGAGACCCGTTTTTCGCTGACATGGCATAACATTTTGCAAAAAGTGCGCTGGATGGGTCAAAAAGCAAAAACACCCCCAACATTCTTTCTCCTAACCGCCCAGGCCCTTCCCCCGTCTCCCTGGACTTCGTCAACCTCGCTCCCGCAGGCCGCTGCAAGTAGTAGCTCGCCGGAGCGGACGAAGCCGGCGAACTGCGGAGGAGGGTGCACCACGATCCAGTTCTTGTACTTGAAGTCGAACACCCACAACGCGTGCCCGCCGGAGCCTTCCTCGAACTGATGGCGCCAGTCACCACCACGCGCCCGTCGCTGCCGCTGCTCGACTGCGCACGCCGTGCCGGCCTCGAGACCAGGCGGGTAAGGGCCCACCTCGAGCCAGCCCCGGCGCTCCCCGCTCCACTCCACCACGGTGGTGGTGCCCTCGATGCACCACGCGGCCGCGCACCACCACGTGAGCCGCCGCCACCTCCGGCGAGGGAAGCTGCGCTGCCGCCTCGACTCGGGGAGGAAGGCGGGGGGAGTAAGCAAACCATCTTAATGAGGTCAAGAGTGTAAGCTGAACTGACAACATTGGATAGAACCACCGTTGAAGCGGAACAACTTCCTAAGCTTTTTATGGACTTGCCAGTGGTTGAGAAATCAATTTTGGCTATCCTCACGACTATCAAAATGTAAGTGTCAAATTGAATAGTTCTAAGGATAATATGAAGTCCTCAATGCATTCAAAGAGAAGACTGAAATATGTTATGAAATCGAGAGACTCTAGAGTGATATATACCACAAACTGCAAAGAATCTGTTAGACCCATTCACGAAAGGGCTATCACAAAATTTGATAGGAAATACACCGAGGGAGATGGGAAGGAGTCTACTTGCTTCCATTGGGACCCCAAGTGCAACAGTTTGTATCTAGCAGGGAAGCGATCTTTGTATAGAGTCATGAGAGAGAAGATGCTAGTGTGACAATACCGTCGTAGTCCAGCAGATGAACTACTCACACCTTATCATGGGAGCAGCGAATCAATGGCCGACGCGGAAGGAGGGGAATTAACCCGACAATGGGGTGCTGACGCAGGGCTGCAGACACTTTCGTCTCGGATCGCGAAGTGGCAGCATTGAAGAATTGCACAATAATTGGACCATCGACCAGGGGCATAAATAGACCATGCGGCGAATGGAGAGACCCAATGTCCCTCTATGGGGCCCATGTGGGTTGGCCACACATCCTATGTGAAAGGCTGTGTGGGCCTCATTTGTGCCGTCATGGCTACCCAGACCCATGTTTGGCAGGTGTGGCATCCTCTAAAAGTTATGCTCAAACCTACTTATATTTTTTTTCTAAGGTACAAAAGTGCATGTAATTTCGGAAAACATAGACTTGCAACTGGCCATATGCAACATGGTTTGTCCAAATAAAGCCATAACATTGCATGTTTTGATAAGGAAATGTCATGAAAACTTCAAATAAAACATGCATATGTTTTGGTTGTATCAGAAATACCCATGCGAGTTGTCATTGTGGCAACCCATAGTCCAGTTGTTCAGTTGTGATTAAGTGTAGCCTCTTATTCTAGGTGGATATTCAAAGTTAATCAGTCTCTAATGAGAACATTGGTATATCAAAATAATGATTGGAACATAGGATGACTCAATGCATGTCTAAGATCTGCTGAACGGTTGTTTCAATTAATTTCCGAACAAATCCTGTAGGTGTGGAAAAATCGAATTCGGCAAAAGGTGCTTTGGGACCCCAAAGGGATAGGGCCTGCAATACCTCGTGCAAAGGTAGTTGCTCGAAAGAGATAAGGATATGCACGCTATCTCTAAGATCATATATTTACAAGAGATATACTCCTAGGAGTAAATTGCATAAAACCACCAGTTTGAGGGCTAGGTTTGCGAAAAACACTAGGATACAGTTTCTCTGCAGAAAACACCACATCTTGCGTAATTATTCTGCAAAAACCATTGATCGGCGGATTTCGCTCGGTTAAATGCATTTATGACAGATGAGACCCGTTTTTCGCTGACATGGCATAACATTTTGCAAAAAGTGCGCTGGATGGGTCAAAAAGCAAAAACACCCCCAACATTCTTTCTCCTAACCGCCCAGGCCCTTCCCCCGTCTCCCTGGACTTCGTCAACCTCGCTCCCGCAGGCCGCTGCAAGTAGTAGCTCGCCGGAGCGGACGAAGCCGGCGAACTGCGGAGGAGGGTGCACCACGGTCCAGTTCTTGTACTTGAAGTCGAACACCCACAACGCGTGCCCGCCGGAGCCTTCCTCGAACTCGATGGCGCCAGTCACCACCACGCGCCCGTCGCTGCCGCTGCTCGACTGCGCACGCCGTGCCGGCCTCGAGACCAGGCGGGTAAGGGCCCCACCTCGAGCCAGCCCCGGCGCTCCCCGCTCCACGCCACCACGGTGGTGGTGCCCTCGATGCACCACGCGGCCGCGCACCACCACGTGAGCCGCCGCCGCCTCCGGCGAGGGAAGCTGTGCTGCCGCCTCGATTTGCCCCCCCCCAGTTCCGCCACCTCATCCGGATCCGGCGAGGGATGCCGCCCCGCCGCGCCGATTTGGCCTCACCCGCGAGGAGACGCCCAGCGCGGGCTGCCGGATCCGGCGAAGGATGTCGCACCACGGCCCCGATTTGGCCTCCAGGCGAGGAGCCGCCCAACGCCGGCTGCCGGATCCGGCGAGGGGTGCCGCACCGCGGCCCCGATTTGGCCTCCAGGGCGAGGAGCCGCCCAACGCCGGCTGCAGGATCCGGCGAGGGGTGCCGCCCCCTCCCCCCGATTTTGTCTCCTGCGCGAGGAGGCGCCCGACGCCGGCTGCGTTGACCGACCCAACCAGTGGCGGATGCACGTGGGCTGATTGCATTTTTTTTATTTAGGGGTGTCTATGTAAAATCTATGGACTAGTTTGTAAAATTATATTAAAATTGACCTGGCACGAAATGTTACGACACGTAGGCAAAAAAAGGGCCCATCTGTCATAAACGTGCTTAACTGAGTCAAATCCGCCGATCAATGGTTTTTGCAAATTGTTTACTAGAGAGGTGATGCTTTTTGCCAAGAAACTGTAACGTAGTGATTTCTGCTAACCTAGCTCTCAAACTGATGGTTTTCTGCAATTTACTCATACTCCTAGTAATGGTATGAGATTTGATCGTATCACATACTCCCTCCGTCCCATAATATAAGAACGTTTTTGACACTAGTGTAATGTCAAAAACGTTCTTATATTATGGGACGGAGGGAGTAGTACAGAAGATATCAAAGTTGATGGAGAAGAAGAGTAGCCTATAAAAAGACCTGAAGACCCTACCAATAACTTGCCACTCAAATCGTCATTCTCACAAAACCTAGTTGATAGATCAATGTATTATACCTTGAATTTCTTGTTTATCAATGTACATCTATAACTAAGACATATATCACTAGTACTTATCCTGTGGTTTTGAATCTGGGTTAAACCACCATCTCTCTGTTGCCTCCGATGAGATCCCTTAGGGCTCCCATCTTATCTCTATTGTTCTACAGACTCATCGATTGATTGTAAGTTTTGTGTTGACCAATCGTTAAACTTTGTCAAAAGGCACCGTGGTTTATAGAGGCACTTTTGCTACCGTGTATGGTGACGTGTCACCACCATGTGAAGAATCATACACCACTTTTCCTCGACGTGAAGTGCATAGCCTGGCTCGGCCGGTTTGCGGCTTCGTTAGCTGAACTGTTGAAGGAAGGCATGTTTAGTTCATATAGATATGCCAGAAAGTGCTGGTACTCATTGTAACACAGCCATGTAATTTGGGCTAGTTTCTCAACTGAAAAAAAAACAGTTTGCGTCGAAGAGGTGATGATAGTAAGATATACAACTAGCCTGTAAGTCAAATTAAATTCAAAAGTGGTTTTGTGGTGTAGTTGGTTCCAACCCGGGCGAAGCCATTTATGTTCTTTTTTTTGTGTGCCTTTTTCCACTGGCTGGGCTCCTACTTTGCTACGATTGTGTTACAGTCGAGGAGAGGCACAAACCCAATGACTCCTCTTTGTGTTACAGTCTGTTCCACTTTCTCCAAAACTACGATTTCATAATAGCCCAGGCATACTAAGATGGTGTTCGTCTTCCCCGATTCTACGGTGAATAATATTACGAGTGCTAGTATATTACACTAAGCAGAGTAATCAGTTTAGACATCTCAATGGACTCGAGTTGCGAATTATAAGAGTTCACATTGGAGAAAGACAGCGGCGAGCTTTTCAAAGCCTTGCATTCCTGAATGCTCATGCATCCACAGCCCAAAGTTCCTCGCCTCGCCGCCTCTGGAAACTCAATGGTTGGCTGGTACATCCATCGGTGGCCCAAAAGCTCCTCGCCAACTCTTGAAACCGAATCCTTTATAAGTATATGTAAGAAAAAAGATGCTTTAGAAGGGGAATCGTGCGAAGAATACCCACAAAAAAGAGGAATCGTGCGAGGAATACCCGCAAAAAGAAAAGGAATCGTGCGAATAAAGAAGTTTGCTCTGTTACTTGACAAGGAGGCTTGCACATGAACCCGAATTATAGCGAATGGGAGGCATAGTTCGCCATCATGCACCTAGCATTACTATTTCACTTATTATAATGCACCTAGTATGACTATTTCACTTATTATAATATATGCTAACGTGAAGTCCACCCATGTTTCATAGCAGCACCGTACCAAAGGCCACCCGTGTTTGCTCATATCATCGGAGTTGGACGCTTTGATTTGCATGGGAGTTAATTAATTGACATGCCTCACTGTATAATACTATCCAACAAAATAGATAATGATTGTGTTTTGTAACCCCATTGTATGAAGGCTTCCTATACAACTAAACTGTATTATAACCAAGATGAGAGTCACAAGTTAACTTACACTTTCTCCAACTATCCCTTGGTCCTTTGGATAGTAATTTCAATGCCAAATGTACTCAAAAAGTTCAGAACTTTGCAAACTCTGCCATCAACCTCTTCACATTTCACTTTGATAATCTTTAGGTATCCTGAAATAGCCGCTGGTTTCTCCATCAAACGAGCATTTTCTTCCACTTCCACTGAACATGTGGGTTTTTCTTGCTGTAGCACACAAAAAATATTTCACCAACATCCATCAATCATGTGTGAAAAGAAAACTTAACGCTGCATCAACTCTGCTACTGTCCATTTATAAAACATATACCTTACGCAATTGAAGTGTCAGATTCTCAAGAACCGGCGAATGTTCAAGCATACAAACTAGTGCACGGAGGTCAGGTTGCACACACCACTCGTTCAGCAACAATGTCTTTAACTTACTAAATGTAGGGCACCATCTCAAATCCCTTTTGAAAATAAAATGAACAAAGTGCAAAACAGTTACAGTTAAGGATCTAGTTTCAAAGTCCACAATGAACTGGTACTGAAAGTGCATTGGACCTTTGGATAAACATTGAAAATTCATACCTACATGAAGCATATAAGCAATTTCAGTATGTCATAATTAGCAACTCTCTCTACATTTACAAAGAAATGTGGACATATCATTTGGAAATTCACATCATGAACATGCGGACTTAATGGATATATATTCTCAATATCACAAGACTATCTCAACTAGAATTGGGTCAGATCTCAAAGTGCAGTCGCATAAACATATATAGAATTTCTAACATGTACACAATGAAGCATAAGAGCTCATCCGGTGGCAATACATGTAGCTACACTATTTTCGTCATTAACTGATATGCAAAGATGGATAGAGATCACGATAGAGACTACTGTAGAGATCAGAACACTCATGCATTAAAATCAAGATGGAAATATGGGTAAATTTACCATTCCCGGATGAGCTATCAACTCCAAGTTTTTAGCACGAGACAGACCTCCAAGAAGTACGCAACCACCCTTGAGGCCATCATTACCACAGCAATCCAGACAAGTACCACAACACTCCCCAGCAAAAAAACCTTTATGACAGTAATCCACTGACCAGATTTCAGAACTGACAACTGCGGTTTCTAATGACAACATGTTTTCGAGAAATGGGGTTCTACCTCCACATGATTTGAGTTGCAGCAAAACAAGATTTGGAACAGAAATATTAATCCGGACATCATCCTTGAAAAAACAATCCTTGATGCTCAGATGCTTTACAGACTGGGACAGGATGCTACTAGCATCTAAGTCACAGTCTTTTATCTTTAGATCCTCCAGCGTTGAACAGCTTGAAAAATTTAGGAAGTTGCTCTTCAACCTCCCTTCAGAAATCTCTAATCTTCTTAAATACCGGGAGACCAGAGGAGGGCCATCCAAATAGCGGGGCACATACACCGGCAAAGGGAACTTGACAGTGAGGACCTGAGTTTGGCATGACAAAGCATGATGGATCCATGTTGATATCCAAGTAAGGTCGTCTTCAAAATGATGATCATACTTGATCTCGACCTCATCCAGAGTCGAGCCAGGGTCTCGGAGGAGCAGCAGGCAGCTCACAAACTTAATAAGGAAAAGGCCGCCGGTGCTCACCCCCCACCTCCCCATTTCGTTGATGCGAAGACGGCGCATGGATTTCCAAAGACAGCGCCAGCGCCGGGCAAGCAGGCAGGTGTGCACTGCCTCATCCGCCGGCAGGAAGCCCAGAACATGGTGCAGGACGTCGTCCGGCAGGGCGCTGATCCGGTCCTCGTTGCAGGACTTTGAGGACTTCTCCGCCCTGCTTGTGTGAGGCATTCTGTCAAACAGATGGTGCGCGCCGGAAGCTGCGGGAACATGAGGGGAACAACCTAAGGGGCGGGAGGCAGAAGGGACGACAAAGATCAAAATCACAGATTTGAAAGCTCACCTCTCAGGCCTTAGGTCGATTCGTCGGCGCGGCGGTGGCCGGTGGCGGGTGGCGGCGGTGAGATGGCCGGACGAACACCACCCTTGCTCCCTCTCGACCAAACAGAGCTCAGCGACGGCGACAGAGGAGATCAGCACAATGCAGTCATCAGCACATGATTCTCTTACAGATCTGCATCGATGCTTTCGAATCGGTGGAGATTGCTCTTGCTCTCGATCCCTAACCCTAGGAAATGCGGCTGCTTCTATTCGATTGATTTCGCACAGTACATGCCCAGTGTTTGAGCTGCGGACGAGCGACACTACTACGGGCGATTTGATAATTTGCCACCCCTTACTTCCCCATTTCACAAATTGCCACCCATTGTCTTAATAACGGGTGGGCCTGGGCCCCACCTGTCATTCTCAGGGGGGCAAATTATGAAAGGGGGAGGTAAGGGGTGGCAAATTATCAAATTTGCCCACTACTACTAGTCCACTCACCGAGCTTGAACAGTACTCAAACCTTAAACCCTTCTCAAATGTCCGGACCAGCCATCCAGTCACTGACCGGTTATGATTTTTTGACCCAGACGGACGTCTCAGACAAGCCTCAAACATCCGAGCTGACCGGCAACCCTCATATCCAGCCAAAATATGGGGCATATATGGGGACGTCTGAGCACGCACGCCACATCAGACTGTCGAAGGGGTCCCAGGCGGAAACGCCTTGAAACCCGGCGGTCTGAAGCTCGTCTCCTTCTCAGACCAGTGGCGCAGCTCCGGCGGCCCGCATAGTGCATAGCCCGGCTATTTAAGTCGACCGACGTCACCAAATCCCTACCATCCATCCATTTTTTTCCTCCTCCTGTCCGCCGCCGCCACTTTCCACTCCACCCGTCCGCCTAGTAGCCATGCCCCCACGCGGCGGGGTGAGGAGCGAGCCATTTCTAACGCTGGAGAGCCGGCTCGAGCTCCTTGAGCAGATCTGGGCTAGGCGCGAAGCCCGGATCACCGCGGGGCTACCTCCGGATGCAGTGGATCCAGAGGAGGAGTTGGAGGAGGAGGTGGAGGAGGACGAGGAGGAGGAGGATGAGAGGGAGGAGGAGGAGCCGGAGGAGGAGGAGGATGTGGGGGACGCCGGCGACGCGAATCTGCAGGCCGAGCAGCAGTCCATCCTCGATTCCCTTCGGTCGGTGTCAACGGAGGTCAGACGCCAACAGGAGATGGCGGCGCACCAGGCCACGAAGGAGGCGGAGATGCTCGCCTACATGAACGAGGTCGAACAGGAGGAGGACGACGGAGATTAGCTAGGTAATACGTAATATGTAGCACATAGGATTTCTTTTGCATGCTTATATGGATGTAGGGTTGTAATATGAGCGAGTGGCTAATTTGAGGTGTGACCAGTCACTGTCCGCAGACGCGCCCAATCGCATCCGCGAGTGTTTGAGGGGTCGGATTTGCAAAGTCCGGCTATAGATGCTCTAAGCCAACTTCCGATGTTTTTTCTTTTCTTTTTCACCCGCTTGGATCGGCTAGGCAGACCCAATGTTTGTTTTTGGCCGCCAGCCTGTAGTCCAAGACAACACGGGCGGAAGATCTCGAGAGCAACTAATTAACTAGTGTTCGTTGGGAGCCTTCTCAAAGATCACCTACAGTAGGCTGAGAGCGTGTCATTTGACAGCGCATCATGTGTCGCGTTCTAGGTGCTTCCTCTGATTTTTTTTTCCACGAACGTGTAGTCTAGGTGGCGGTGGAGCTCGGGCGGGAGGCATACACGAGAAATAATTGAAGGTGTGTGAGACCTTAAGGGTGATGCTTGGGTTTTCAAAATAAAAATGAAATTAAGCTTCTCTTTGGCCCATTTCTGCAAATTCATTGAGCTATGGTCCATCATCCGTGACTTTCCTTCATGAGGATGCCGAGGATGACATTTGTGTGGAAGCACAGAGATAGTGGCCACATGCTCTTAAAAAAAAAGTAGCAGCGGACCGTTAGGACATCAAATTCAATGCTGAGTTAAATACTACTCCCTCACACCACATGGTCAACCTACTCTCTCACACCACATGCATGCAAGAGATATTAATGTCCTAACGGTCCGCATAGTATCAAATTCTATGTATCAAATAAAGAGACAGTATCAAATTCTATGCTGAGTTAAATATACTAGACAATATCAATCACATTTTCAGCAGCTTTCCAATGGTATATCATTTGCTCAATTTGAACAAATGGTTGATGAGTTACAAGAAAAAAGCAACACCAAAAAATAAAGTGAAGTTCGAACTATGGAAAGACCTCAGTTCAAACCCGCACAAAAGCTCAATCCGAATATTCTGTTTCTGGACGAAAAAACAGCAGGACCGATCTTGTTGTATTCAAAATTACTCAAACGATTGTGAATTTGAGAAAAAGTTCAACATAAAAAAGTTTAGCAGTTTTAATAGCATTCGTATATCATTTTCATATTGGAATTTAAACCATGTGGAATTTTGGGAAAGGTTCTATACAAAAAGTTCCGCATTTTCTATTGCTTTTCAACGGTCTATCATTGCTGCATTCTAGCAAACTGTTTGAAAATTAGAGAGAAGGTATATTTCAGCTAAAAATCGATCATTTTTCAAATTACTTTTAAACCCTATGGAGTTTAGGAAAACATTATACATGAAAAAGAGCGCATTGGTAACACGCGCCATATCACATGCACAGGTCCAAAAAACTGTATGTAAATGAGGTCAAAGATATGATTCGCGTTTGTGAATACGAAAAAAAATGTTTTTTTCATAACTGTTCATAAACCGTGGGGACTTTTGTGAAACAATTCTACATGAGAGGTGATCTCCATGCCCAGAGATCTCCAATGGCATATTATACCTCTCATCCTAACAAAAACCATGAAATTTCAAAATTTTGCTATATGCAGTTTGGGTACTAAAGCAGAGATAATTTGGTAACACCATTAAAATAATATTCTCTGAGTAGTAATAGAATTCCACTTTCTGCACCCAGGTGCAGATGCTCCCCAGTGTTAACTGTAAAATCATTTAAAATAGAAGAAAAATTTAAAAATACCGATCTTTTGTGGTGCAAGATGGTCGAATGCCTGATGCCCGTGCAAAAATTTTGTGGAGTTTGGATATTCAAGGAGCTCGTGGCAAAACAGACAAATTCTGGCTCTGTGAGAAAGTTTGAAAAATGCACTGTTCATTGCCGATTTTTTCTTTTTTGGTGCGAGCTCCTCGAATGTTGTTTGCCAACGAAGTTTTGCACTTACTTGCTGCACTGAAGCATCTTGCATGCAAAAAATTTCATTTTTTTCTTGATTTTTTTAATCTTTATTTTTATTCTACTATTCATCAGGTGTAGATGAGACCGGGCTCCAGATTGAATTATCGATATATTATAGTAGATTTGTGTCAAATAAAGCCATACATGCATGGCTTGATACACCGTAAGCAAATCGCAAATTGATGCAACTGAACAATACATGCATGGATTGATATATAGACGAGAAAAATTACACAGTAGCTACAAAAGTATGTAGGTCCCACAAAAAAAAAGACAATACGTAGTACACCTCACTTTACCTAAGAACATGGAAAATGGAGTATATAGCATGGTAGTTGGTGATGTGGGAACATATAATGTCCCGCCTTTTTTTTTCTCTCCGAGAAAATACATAAAATGGTTCATATGAAATTCACATAAAGTGAAGTTAAGGTCTCTTTGAGACTAAACGATAGGGTGTATGCATCTTCACGCTTGTACATGAAATCCATTGTCCGGGCAAGACCAGTCGCCTTCTCTAGAAGTGTCATGGGATGTTCTCTATGGAGGCATTCGTGGACTATGTCCATCCATGCTTCTTCAATTATTACCTTAAGCTTCTCATTGGCTTCTACCACCGTGATCCCATGCTCTTTTGTACAAGTTTGTACTGTGGATGCCACATGCTCTGATAGTTGTTCTCGCTTAAAAAATAACATGATTAATTAGATGAAGTTTCATCATGCATGCATGCATGCATGCATGTGTGTATGCATAAATATGCCATGTACAAGAAATTGTTTTTTCATATTGATGATGTGACTCTCCCAAGTACCCTAGCTGCTAGTTCGCCGACTACGCGCTCCCTCACCGCCGTCGCCACCGCAGTAGGGTAGACGTGTAGTTTCGTGGTTCCCGACGAATGTACGGAAGCGGCTTGTGTGTCCCGACATGTCAGGTTTCTCGATGGCAAGACCGTGGCAGGTAGCAGGTCACATGATGGGTGTCTGGCGGACGACCATGGTGGGGGATCGTTTGGTCAGCTGAATCACCACTTGTTGTGTGAATCTGGTGCTCTATATTTGGCGTGTTCCATTTTGGATGTGTGAATACTCAAGCTTCAATGTACATCTGGTGTTGTTCTGGACACTACACTTAGGGTGGTTTTAGAAGTGGATAGATGTTAGCTACTCCCTCCGTTCCCAAATACTTGTCTTTCTAGGCATTTCAAATGGACTCAACATACGAATGTATGTAGACATATTTTAAAGTGTAGATTCACTCATTTTGCGCCGTATGTAGTCACTTGTTGAAATGCCTAGAAAGACAAGTATTTAGGAACGGAGGGAGTAGAATGGTACAGGGCAGTGGATGTTGTTGTCGGTGGCAAGCTAGCCTTGTTGGGTGGGGATGAGGTGACGTGGAGCTATAAGTGTGGCCGTGACAGAGCCGATAGTCGGTACATGGATCCAACTAGCATGTCCTAGACTCCCTCCCAAAAGCTCCATCTTTCCAGGTAGGTCCGATTTTGGCAATGATGACACTCGTGGGTGTCTTTGTTGAGGCATCGACTATTTTAGTTGGATTTGAGGCGGACTTAGTAGCTACTTGCTGTGTGTTGGATGTGTGCTAGGATTTTGGTGAGGTGGATGTGTGCTAGGATTTGGATGGAAGTCTGGTGCCAATAAATGGCCTCCATGGGCTTTGCTTCCCTACTTGGGCGTGCTATTGAAGAGCTTCGTTGAAGCCCTAACCCTTGGAGTATAATTGTGTCGGTTGCGTGGCAACGAAGCACGAGTGCTTCTAATGGACAATCATGTTGCTTCATTGATATGATTGATTTGTTGTGTGGTACTGTTTCCTAGTTTAGTTAGGTGCTACACAGTTATCCTTGAATCCTCTATAAGGTTTTCGTCCTAGTGTTCCTCAAAAGTGGGCCAATCTCTCTCTCTCTGTGTGTGTGTGTGTATGAGAGTGCCAGGAATGCCCTGCCCTTTAACCAAGATCTCAAAGAAGATATGGATGATAGTGATACATTAATTAACTCAGACTTGTTGGACTATGTGACTACTAGTTAATTTCATTTAGGACAACCACAAATAAAAGAAATATGGTTTACATGTGCCAGAAAAGTTTTAAATGGACAGAGTTGGTACCTCATGTGACACCATGTCATTGCCAATACGCCCGACAATACATACACATTCGATAATTTTTGGATAGGTAGAAGCCCACTCAAGAACCTCGCTTGTAGCTATATCACCCATTGAGATGAACACAAGGCTTATTATTTGCATACAAGCGCTGGTGCGCACTGAAATTTAATTTGTAGATGCTCTTCAACACTAGTTGGTATGTAGTGCTCATCCCGCCATTTCACCTCCGCGTGATAGCTTTTGGCAATGTCAATTACCTAAACAAGGTACAATTTTAAGGTTAAATAAAGTATAAATGTGGGGAGAATGTTTGGTGGCAAACTACCTTTGCATTGTGATCTATTGGCTAATGACACAGTACTCATAAATATTCTCCTTTTGAAACACAATTGTATCCATAGATAAACCAACATAAACCAGTGTTTCTATATAATCAATAGTTTAACACAGTAAACCATCTTAAAATTAATAAAATTTGTTGAATTGTGCGCTACATGCATGAAGGGACAGAAAATTCATATGTAGCTTTAGATGCATTATATAAGATAAAACTAAAATGATGATTTCTCATAGTTTACTCGAAGCATGGTATCCAACATTTTTTGAGTTAATGAAGATTCTCGTGGCTCCACCGACTTCCATTCCAAAACCACCAATCAAGCATGTTATGCAATCATTAGCGTTAGGAGCTACAATTTTTTTCACGAAGTTCTTCTATTTGTATTTGCTTGTCCCCCCTCCACATGAATTTCACATTTTACCATCAACAACATGACTCTCATATATAATACATAGATGCATTTGCCCCATCTCCTGACACAAAATCTCAAGACGTTAGAGCTACATATTATTTGCTTCAAATTACTTATACATAGTCGAGGAATGATTAATAAATATAATACCTAAGTTTGAAACCTTGAGCATTGAATGGGCAAATATAATACTATATATAGTTCTCTGTATAGCTCGTTTTTAGGAATAATTTTTTACAGTTTGGAGAAGCACTAACAATTTTTTTTGCCAATCCAGTATGCATGTTTTTCTGATGCTTCAACTCTTCATCAATAACATTTGTAGTGTTAAGTATATTGATGTATAATGCCTTCAAGTATGCTGGGAATTGCTCCACGGCTTCTTCATCCCACCTATGGTTCAGAAAGTGTGTGTTTAGTGCAAACATAGATAAAATATATGATACCAAACTAAATAGTGTTGCATATAAATTGCAATGGAAGATATTTATATTATTGTAAGCAAGGCTACATAACTTGTATATTTGGAGAAACTCTTTTTTGTGACCCACACATGAAAATAGTTATTAGATTGATAACTAGGACGCCTTGTTATCTGTGCCACGTCTGACAGTATATTGTTTCCTAGATGCCTTATTAATTCAAGATATTGTATAATAAAATATTGTTGACCATTGTTTGAAAACATAGGCAAATGGAATGTAAAGATCCATAATTGGGCTGCTATTTTTTTACGTGGAAACCCGTTGAAGAAAACAAGAACATGGGTGGCTACATCAGAAGTGTTTGCAAATGTTGGGGCTTAAAAAATGTGTTGTTAACTAACCTTGTGCGACTTATAAGAAGTATTAACAGATATCATTTATTAAACTCAAGTCAAGCAGAAACCTAATGCGCCATGCAGAAGGAATGCTACCACTATTGTCTTAAGAATTTAGATCAATTACTTGTCGGAGAAATGGATGTATCTACATGTATTTTATTTTTAGATACAATCATTTTTATCCATTTCGGCGATAAGTATTTCCGGGTGGTGGAAGTATATTAGTAAATTAACCACACTTACCTGGTAGTAAAGAAGTCACTGGAGTTTGGTATATAATATTGTTTCATGCATCTATATATAATTTTGACAAAAGGGATACATGTGAAGTTAATTATAAAATAGAACTGTATATATATGCTCTAATTATTCTAGCTATAGATCATGTTTGTGAAATAATTGCACGTAGGAAGCTTTTGCTAACAACGTTTTGTCAAGGGATTCCATTTGTGTGACTTAATGTTAGGCTTTCCATTCGTTGTGCAAGATCGATAAATATTATATGAGAAAAACCAAAGGTGAATGTACCTTTCCAAGGCTGCGGTAAAGATGTTGCTTTCTTCAGTGGTGCTATAGTTATCATAGAGGTCATCAAATAATGACACAAATATGACCAATTGTGTCAACATTATACGTGAGTAGGAATATTGCGGCTCATAGACAACTCCAAGCATCCAAAAATGAATCTCCACCATTCTATCTCGTGCAAACTGTAGATCTGTCTGTGCTTGAAAGTCTTTCCACCAACTGTTAATTATTAATTGAATATGTATTAGCACATTTCATAATAGTTAAATAGCAAAAATCTTATTGACATTTTAATAGCTATTATATTTTTTTACTCTCTTACATCGTAAGAGCTTTCAACTCATGGCAATAAAGAGTTTGCAAAATGTTGAAGTCCAACTTAGCAAATTCTAATATGTGCTCATCTCGAGTAGCCTTCTTCTCATACACCGGGATGTAACGTCTCGTTTCCACTCTTTCGACTCTCCTGAAATGGGGTGTTTCCAATGTACACTGGACCTCTTCTACCAACCGCGGGTCTAGATGTTCCAACATACATTGTAGACGGCTCTTGGTGAAAACAACTGCGTCATCAAGCACTTCTTCCCCATGAACCCTAAGATATGCTGCATTATACAATGCCAATAACGAGTCCAGATCATTGCTAGCAAAGTTTCCTTGGTCATCTCTGAACTTCAGAAACACATCTGCGTGAGCAAGTAAACCTATCATATATCTAATAATTGATTTAAAAATATGTATGTAGGCATTAACAATCGTGACCGTAATTATACCCTGAGAGGTGTGGTACCCATGCTTCCTCAACAAGTAGAACCGCATCGCTGTCATATGGAGGTCATCACCAATGCCTTGTCCATCACCGTGGATGTCACATAGTATTTCATTGATATCTTCGCGGTAGTGATAGGCCACACCTATTCGTTCCAGTGTGTCAATAAGCTCCATCTTCACAACTAAATCGGAGGAAGATTTGGTATCCAAGATGATCTTTCTCACTCGTTCCTTCTTGATAGTTGCCATGTGCTTCATAGCCAAACACTGCAAGATAGAGAAACATTTATCTATTTTCTAGAAAAGACCGCTGCCCTACATCTATGTACATAGAAAGCACAAAATACATTTGAGATACCAACTCCAAAAACGGCATCTTGTAAATATCAAAGACCTAAGAGTGCATGCTCGTGTTCAGGAGCTTTTCAAAAACTTTAGAAAACATTCACAGATGTACCCATGGGAATACTAGTGAATCTCTTGTACTAGACAATACCTTGCATGTATCCTTAAGATTTGAACTATGTAAGGAATTTCTACAGAAACAAAAAATAATAATCCTAACACAAATTTGAATATATACAATTATATGCACTGAGATTTAAAATCCACTCAAATTGCACTAAAGCATGTTGCATGATAGAGAAACTCTCATGTCAAGAACAGATAGAAGTTAGTCGACCAAACTAGAAAATCCAATTGCTACGACAATTTTTATGGTGTGGAAGCATGCATGTGTAACAAAATTGCTATTTAAGGACTTGTGCTCGGGTTTAGCTACATATAAAATATAGATATTTGTGTCTGATAATAATATAGAATGATATCAGCAACCGCCGAGACAGAAAGTAAGAAAACAAATCGGTAGTTACCTGTGATTGAGTGCATGCACTAGTAGAAAAAGGACCTTTAGTCCCGGTTCATAAGGGCCTAATGCCCTCACCCTTTAGTCCCGGTTCAAACCAGAACCGGGACTAAAGGCCCTCCACGTGGCCGCTGCCTGGAGGCCCACCTTTAGTCCCGGTACTAAAGGAAATTTTCTGAATTTTTTTTTGAAATTTATTTTTTGAATTTTTTTTTGAATTTTTTTATTATTTTCAAATTTTAACCTCTAATCTCTAATCACCACCCCCTCATCACTACTCAATTTATCCTCTAATCACCCCTCATCATTCCAAATCATCTAACTTCCCGACCAGCCACCCATCCCTCTCACTACTCTAGCCCGAGCACGCTTAACTTTCGGGTTCTATTCTCCTTCGCTTTCGAGTCTACACTTGTTGTTTTCCTGTCAATAGTAAGATGTCAATCCTATTAACCCTCAGGAATTTTGCTTGAGCATGAAGTGACACATTTCACTGTTTGAGTTTGAAACTATTGTTTTGAAAAACAATAATTATTTAGTAACACTAATATTTCTTGAATAATTAGTTTGACCATTGTTTGACCACAGTTTGACCATAGTTTGACCAGATTTGACCAAAATTCAAAATAACTAAAATAATTATTTAGTAACACTAATATTGTAGAATAATTAGTTTGACCACAGTTTGACCATAGTTTGAAATTTTTTGAATTTTTTTGCTTCTCCAGATCTTAAAAGCCCCGTAACTTTTTTTTTGTTAGGTTTTTGAGGATTTTGAAAATGTTTAACGGGGTTTCCCCGGTTAAATTTGGATGTAACTTTTCGAGTAGATGATTTTTCATATAAAAAACTTTTTCATCTGAGTTCGTATGCAAAAGTTACGCCCATTTTTACAAATTCTCGAGAGATTTTGCAAAAAAGTCGAAAATTCATGTTTGTAAATTTTCCCAACAACTAGAGCACATATCACATGGGAAACTTATTTTATTTTATTTTTTTTGACATTTCCATCATTTTCTTTTATTTTTTTTAAAACTGAAAAGGCGATCGGGGGGAGGGGGTCCCGGTTTGAAGCACGAACCGGGACTAATGGTCATCGCACCCTTTAATCCCAGTTTGAGGCATGAACCGGGACTAATGCCTTAGCCGCACGAACCGGGATAAATGCTCGCATTAGTTCCGGTTCTAGACTGAACCGGGACTAATGCTCAACCCGGCCTGGACCATTGCCCCCTTTTCTACTAGTGATGGGTTGTGGTTGAGGAGGAAGTCACCCCAGGGGCTGGGGGTGTAAGGCCGGGGCTTGTGCAGGTCAGCCACAACCTCCTCCTCGTGTGAGCCATTAGCTGCAGGAGCCATATGATTCACTTCACTCGGTGGCCTTATATAGATGGACAAATGACCTGCACATAACATATGTCTGTTGGTAGATTATTTGTCTGGAAAAAGCATGCATTTATATAACCCTAGCAGCCTAGCTAGCAACGTAAGCTCCATAGAACAAAGTAGTGCATGCATCCTTTCCGCAAGCACAACCTCTTCCTATCATATATTCAAAGTCAAGTTTCATGGGACGGCTAAGGATTAAAACTTGATTAGGAGATCAGGACCAGTATACATGTACATACAGTACAATGGAGTACTATACCCAAATTATTGATCTGACACTGAATATACATATGGGGGCTCGTGTACTGACTAACTAACCCGATAAAATCTAAAAAAAATCGATTGCCTCCTTATATATATGGAGGCTGCTAGCTCCTGCTGGCGTCAATTAATGGGTTAAGTTGGTCGTTGCATGCAACTTGCAGTTGTACTTACAAGAATGGCTAGCACATGAATGGCTGGCACAGCCGGCTCGCATAATCTTTAGGGGCTAGGGAAACACCGCTCCCGCAAATTAACATTCTGGTCCACCTCTTCTTCTTTTTTATAAACTGCACAAGGCTAGATATATTATATAAAATCGCCACTTAGAAGAATATGAAATCACAGAAAAGTTTCTGAAGAAAACAACACCATCTTCCTTTCGCATCCCATGGTGGTGTGCCATGAGCAATGCTCGTTGCCGGCTCTGAGAGCATCTCCAACAAATCCCAAATAAAATCCAGGTATTGGGGGAGTTGGGGCAATCATGGTAGTTTCATCAATTAGCCATGCACCTATAAAAATTAGTCATTTCTGTTTATAGAAAGAACATCTCATGCCATCTCGTGATATGGTGTCATGGAAAATCTATTTTACGTTTAACAACTAAAAACTTAGAACATGGCGAAAATGGCGTGGGTAAAAAACTAATGATTGCCCACAATTTGCATGACTAAAAATGCTCATGGGCCATGGTAAAATTTCAGGCAAAATGATCTATAAAGCAATAGAGACAAAACAAATTGCCATGGCAATTTAGGAATTGGAGTTATATGACACATGGCAAATAATTGCTTAAATTTGCGTGGTATTGTAGACAAAAAGATGCCATGATAGAGAGGATGGTATAAAGACACAAATGCCATGGTAGAGTGAATTTAGACATGCTAAATAGACACGAATGCCATGACATGTTTGCGGTACAAACAAAACAAAAGGTCGTGGCAATTTAGGGATCGGATTTGATTTTGAGGAAGCCACATTATGTCAACTTCAGTAGTATCATTCAGAACACTGTAACCTCCATAGATGTGCCCCTGTAGCATCTAACCTCGTCCCCCCCCTCTCCCCTCGAATCCCCTTGAATCATGGATCCAATTCTACGAGCCACATTATGAGAGGATCAAGCATGTTTTGTACCTGAAAATTCTATAAAGAAACGGCGCAGAAGCAGGCAACGCGTACTGCCATGTCCATGCCTCCGCCGGCAGCGGCGGCATGCATTGCACGCACGCGGCAAACGCTGGTCGAGAGCGGTTGGTGAAGTCCAGCCCGCGGCACTCGGGGAAATGTACTCGTGGGGAGGCACACATTGTCGGATGTGGGCCTTCCTCGACCACAGAGAAGCGACCTTGGCCCTGGCCTCACAGGGGCTCGTCACCGTTCGTGGCCACCACCATAGCCGGGTGCCGCCTCCGCGACATCTCGTCAACCTCGTCGCCCTCGTTGAGATGCAGCAAGGAGGAGCGCCTAGCTGGCGACCTCTCACCAACCTCGTCAAGATCAAGCGAGGTGGAGCACCTAGCCGGCGCGGAAGCCCGGGTGGTGTCAGGCAGAAGGGGTATGGTCCACGGCGACTGTGATGCGACCGCGCCGGGTGGTGTCAGGCATGGTCCCCGGCATGGTCGCAACACAGTCGCCGTGGGAGGTCACCGAAACCATCTCTCTCTCTCTCTCACACACACACAAACACAGGGGGGCATCGGTGCTTGTATGGCCGCGAGCGCGTTCGCGCCGGGTACATTCGCAGCCAACAGCTGGGTTTGTCTGACTTGGCAACTGAGAGTGCATCAGGATTCATATTTTTGATCCAAAGGCTGTTTGTTGGGAAATGTCTAAAAATCTGACGTTCGCCAGATAGCATTTCCCTACTAAAATGATTACTCACTTACACCTATTTTGTCTATAAAAGGACATAACTAATACTCCTCTTCATTTCATTTTACTCCACATATAAAATTTGTTTGAAGTCAACAAACGAAAAGTTTGATCAAATTTATATTAAAAAATATCAACAGCAACGATACTATTGTTATATAGGAAATTAACTTGATATTTATGGTGCATCTAATGATATGGATTTTGTATTGTGAATGTTGATATTTTTTACAACGAACTTGGCCAAACTTTATGAAGTCTAACTTCATACAAATTTTATATGAAAAGTAAAAGAAAACGGAGAGAGTAATAACATAAATTGTACATTCCAAAAAACACATTATTTTACTGCCAATCAGGAGCAAAATCACTGAACGCAAACGTAATTGCAATGTACTCTTTGTTTGCCTCGGATATCAAAGTACATATAAAACATGATGTCTCTCTACGAATGGAGAAAAACAAATTAGAACCGAGCTAGATTGGAACTAGGCTAGGAACATATGGAACTACATCAACGGCAAGGACTGTTTTCATTGGGTACTCAACGACCACCGTGCCCACGTCGTTGTCGGGATGGTGGTACTTGAGATACCGCGTGTCGACAAGATCACTCATGAAGGATTCTCAGCCTTCTCCCTGCCGGACGTCGTGGAACCGTGTGGTGCTTAGTGGAGTTTGTATTCTGGGGAGTTATGTGTGCCACCATGAATATGTCTGTTGGTGTGTTATCTTGGAATGTCAGGGGGCTCAATAACCCCGCTAGGCGTAGCTCTGTTCGTTTGTTTCTGCAAACCTGTGATGTATCACTTGTCTGTCTCCAAGAATCTAAATTGGCCATGGTGGATGCTGGGGTGGTTAGTCA